TTAGGTAAAGGATAGTAAATGTGTGTTGTAAATAAGAATATTTTCCCTGTGTTTTTACTGCAAGAGGAGTGTTAATGCCTGCCACCAGGCTTGTGTATTTGTTCATTGACTTTTTAAATCAACAAATGATACTAGTTTAATTCTTCTGACTAACTCTACTGTTTCATGTTTGATACATTTTTTAAACATTTTTTAAAATGAGTTACAGTCATTTTACAATGTTGTGTCAAATTCTAGGGTAGAGCACAATTTTTTAGTTATACATGAACATAAATATATTCATTGTCACATTTTTTTTCCTGTTGTGCATGTTTGATACATTTTGAAGCTATCCTATTCAGTGCGTATAAAAACAGAATTGTGCTACCTTCTGGTAGATTGTAGATTTGATCATTTTGAGTATTGCTCTGTATCCATCCTAACAATTCCCATTTTGATGTCTACTTTATCCTGTATTAGTGTAGCTAGTAGCTTTTTTTTGATTAGGGAATCCAAAAGTCTTGCTATCCACATACAAAAGAAAGAAATTTTCTCTCTCAATCTCTCACCACATTAAAGAATTAACCTGAAATGGAAATGGATCAATGACTTCAATGTACAACCTAAAACTATGAAAGTCTTAGAAGAAAACATAGGTGTAAATCTCTGTGACATTGGATTGGCAATGGCTTTTAAAACATGACATCAAAGTAGAAGTAACTAAAGAAAAAATAAATGAATTATACTTTATCAACATTCAAAGCTTTGAAAAATACTGCCTCAAACAGTACTATCGAGAAAGTGAAAAAAGAAGCCTCAGAATGGGAGAAACTGTTTGTAACCCCTGTATCTATTAAGGGTTGAGTATACAGAATACATAAAGAATACTTGCAAGCTAACAATAAAGAGATGAATGACCCAAACTAAGTTTTAATTTTAACAGAATTTTAACAGGCTGCTGGGGACTGTGGGGAAACATTAACATTACTTTCCTGTGTACTCTCTATATAGCTTCACTCTGTACCCTTTTGTATAATTTTAAGTTTTATACCACATGTATTTATTATTTATTCAAAAATCCAAGAATAATATTTATTAAGTTTTTTTTCACTGTGAACCAACTAATTAGATGGTTGGAATTCCATGCCCCCACCCCCACCCAAGGGATGGGGAGAGGGGCTGGAGGTTGAGCCAATCACCAATGGCTGATGATGTGATCAATTATGACTCTGTGATGAAGCCTCCCTAAAAGCCCCCAACACTGGGTTCAGAGAGGTTCTTGCGTGGTGAACACATGGAGGCGATGGGAGAGTGGGACATGGAGAGGGCATGGAGGCTCTGCTCCCGTCCTGCACACCCCGCCCTAGGCATTCTTCCATCTGGTGGTTCCTGAGTCGTATTCTTTTATAATAATCCAGTGATCTCATGAGTAAAGTGCTTCTCTGACTTCTGTGAACTGCCCTACCAAATTAATTGAAATTGAGAAGGAGGTCGTGGAAACACCCGGGCTACAGGCAGTCAGACAGAACAAGTAACAGACAAGCAGCAACCTGTACTTGCATTGTGAATTGGAGCGAGTTGTTGGAAACTCCAATTGGTTGTGACTGCAGTCTGAAGCGAGGGAAGCGGCGAGAGGAGGCAGGGTTGTAGGACTGAGCGCTAAGCTGTGGGATGTGTTATCTCCGGGTAGATAATGTCAGCGTTGAGATGAACTGAAGGCCACAGCTGGTGTCCAGAAAATTGCTTGTTGTGTGGAAATTACCCCAACCACACGCTTGTTGGAATTGGGTCCAGGAACCCCAAAGGAACTATGTTCCCCAAAAGACTGAGTTGAGCGGGTATAAAAAACGAAATAATCAAGTATAATTTCTACATGCTGTCCTTCGTATGTTGCTTTTCTGTGACACACTGCATGGGGCGATAACAGAAATGTGGTTGTTTCTGAGGAGTACCGGGCTTTACATGTGGTCCTGTGTGGTCCCTGCACCAGCTGTGAGGGCCTTCTTGCTGGAATGAATTCAACCACTTCCTTTCTAGAGCTTATCTTACACACTTAACCACCAGCTGCTTACAAAAAAAAA